CCCCCCCGCCCCCCAACACCGCCTCTCCGGTGCTGCACGTGCGGCCGAGCAGCTCCCCCAGAGCATCCCGGGGCTCTCCTGCCCACCAGGATGGCCCACCGGCACTCACGCACACCGAGCTGTGTAAGTATCTGTACAGACACAAATCTATAGACACTCTCTCCTGGCAGTAACTGCTGGGTCAGCCTCGGAGGAGAGACCCCTGAGCAAATCCAGCACTGAGTTAAGCTGAACTGAAGCTGCTTTACAGCAAGAGGAAGGGCTTCTGTGAAACAGGTGCCGCGGCCAGGGGCGAGCACTGTGCCTCCGTACTCACTCATTAGGGTGTTTGGTGCCTCGTTACAGGTAATAAACAACTATTATTAATATAATTTTCATTTTTTCCCCACTAATTCCCTGAACTCATCAGCCTTTTCTGGTAATAAGATTCCTCCCTTGTGCCCTGTTTCACCTAATTTAATATTACTTTGTGGGGTTTGTTATCTCCTGGAAGACCTTAAACTTGGAAGGCATTGCAATGCACCAGGAAAATGTGGGGTAGAGCTCTACGGGGCACGTATGCGCAGCCCACTGGCATGCTCCTGCCACAGAGATTCCTCCAAGCCGACCCACACGTGATGTGCTGCGGCCATGCCCCTGCCACAGAGATTCCTCCAAGCCGACCCACGCGTGATGTGCTGATGCTGCGCCTCACAGCAGCATCTCGATTTTAACTGTTTAATGGAGGTTCATGACTGCTGGGTTTTTTTTGAGAGCCTGCATCTATAATTATTTTCTTCACAAAGTAATTTTGGTTTCACAGGTAAACACCAATCTCAGCAGTTTCCACTTTTAATATACAATTTGATTTAGGACTAATCATCCTCTGCCTGCTAAACAGGTATTTATTACAACCAAGCCTGCCTGACACCCTTCCTCACCATGCGGTTTTTTTTTCCTCCCTATATAATAATCGTTAGGAGGAAAAAAAAGTTACACTACATACCTGAGGGGGGCCTGAGCACTTTAACGAGGTTTAATTACAACATTAGCAATGTGGGTGAGGCATCCAAGTAAACAAGCCATAAATCAGCCCATAAAACGAGCAAAATAAACCCCTTCCACCCACGCTGATGGCAGTGTGGTGTCCTAGGTGTTGCTGTATGCTGATTTGGGCCACCCAAGAGGTTTGCAGATACAGGTGCCGTCGGGCTGGTTACAGCCACAAATGTCCCCGAGTGCTGGGTGTCACCTCCCGTCTCCCCAGGACCCAACCCTCCTGCTCGCGGGGATGGGGCCCTCCCGCTCCCTTGGCCCACACAAAACCAAGGCTTTTCCCACGAGCTTGTGGGGTGCCGGTAGGACTCAAGGGCTTCTGCCTGCTTGGCCGCGGGCTGTTTCGTTCATCGACCCACGGCAAACGGCGCGACCTCGCCGGCTTGGTTTTCCTACGGAAGCGGTGATGGACTGCAACACAGAGATTGGACTTTCAAGAGGAACTTTGGGAATTTCCACGGCGACGTGGTAGCAGGTGGCACGCTGCCCACGGGACGGAATTGGCACCAGACGCTCAGCCAGAACCACTGTGGTCAATAAACCGTGAATTAAGAAGGATTTACATGACAGTCCATGAGAGCTGTTTAAGAGTTGTTAGGGTATGCTCAGTAATCCAGTTACAAAGATATGCCAATACACGTGCTTGACAAAAGACTGTAACTGCTTTAAAATATGGTTATGGGCTATTGCACAACAGTAACTTAACTATTCACAGGCATTGAATGTGCTTGACTTTATAATGTGTTACAGTGATTTATACAAGACATAAAAAACAATTGTCAAAAATGTGGAAGAAAAATTCAAAGCCAAAAGCACAGCCATTCGTTCTGAATGGTAACATGTTAATGCAGGGGAAGAGAAACATCAGCGCTGTAAATGGAAAGGGACCGTTCAGCTAACTAAACTCGTCATTGGAAAAAAAAAAATCCCACAGAATAATAATTAGCCATTAGCTTTGAAATAACCTCCAAATTAATAGCTGTTTTCCTAGCACATTTTTCCAAAGAAAACAAATCTATCACTAAGTGCATTTGTATCTCTTACACTTTCTATGTTCATGATTGGGTCAAAATAAAACCTTGTTGCAGATAGAAAAAAAAAGATGCCTTTGAAGAATAAAAGGTTATAATTCAGTCAATGTTTCCTAATGGCACTGCACACCCACTGCAATGGAGAGAGAGCCCTGAGATTGAAATAGTGCTTGAAGATTTTGTGCAAAATCTGTCATTGTTAAGGGGCCTTGCCAATTCATATTTATGAGGTTTATAAGATGTCACATCGCTGTAAACTTTAATCTCACGGCACTGAGTTTACAGCTGAGAGGGCTGCAGAGCTGGAGGTATCAGAATACCGGCAAGGGGAAGGAAATTCATGAGCTACACCATTTCACTGGGCTGCTCCGGATGCACCGGAGACTTTGTGCAGGAACCTGTGAGCGCCCGTGGCCGAGGACTGTGGGGCTGTGGGATGCACACGGATGGGGCTGGGGCCAGCGGAGCCCGAGGGGTGGTACAGCGTGTCCCAGGGAGCGAGGCCGGAGCAGCAGCTCCCCTCGACCGCCAGCCTTGCCGGGGCTGAGTGTGGCTTTCCTGCCCCGCGCCATGGCAGCACCTCCGC